TCCTGGCCCTGGGTCCCGGAAGTCCTGTGCTGTTTTCGGACGGCACCTGCAGGGCCCGGCGAGGGGCTCAAAGGGGCCGTGAGCGGCGGAGAACCTCCGCCCAGACGCTTTGGCGGCGCTGGAGGTCTGGGGCCGGGTCTCTGCCCGGTTTGGGCTGCCCTCCCCTTCTCCCGGGGGAGGCCAAAGGATAGCCTGGCCCCCCCTTCGGCGCACGGCGCTGCGGGCGCTCGCGCCAGCAGTGAGCAGGGCGCCGAAGAGGCCAGCCCACGATGGGCGCGGCCGGGATCGGTGAGCTGGTCGGTGTGAGCCCCCCCGGGCAGAACGAGTCCAGGCTGAGAGCCCGCCGGCCGGAGGCGTCGTGGGTCTTCGGTCGTTTGTCGTTGGCGTCGTCAACGTCGTCGTCGTCGCTGTCGTCGTTGTCATCGTCGCCGCCGCCGCCGCCGTCATCGTCGTCGTCGTTGTCGTCGTCGTCTTCGTCGTCGTCGTCTCTCGTTGTCGCGGTCGTTGTCGTCGTTGTCATCGCCGCCGCCGCCGCCGTCGCCGCCGCCGTCGCCGTCGTCGTCGTCGTCGTCGTCGTCGTCGTCGTCGTCGTCGTCGTTGTCGTCGTCTTTGTCGTCGTCGTCGTCGTCTCTCGTTGTCGCGGTCGTTATCGTCGTCGTGGTGGTCATTGTCGTCGTCATCGTCGTGTTTGCCGTCGTCGTCGTCGTCGGCGGCGGCGTCCGTCGTATGATGATAACGATGACGGCGATGGCGGCGACGATCTATGATGAGGATAATGGTTGTGGTGATGGTGATGAGGGTGGTGGTAGTGGTACGATGCTTATGATGATGGTGGTGGTGATGTTGCTGCTGCTGCTGATGCTGCTGCTGCTAATGATGATGATGCTGCTGAGGATGACGATGATGATGATGATGCTGATGCTGATGCTGATGCTGATGATGATGATGATGATGATGATGATGATGATGATGATGATGATGATGATGATGATGCTGATGATGATGATGATGATGATGACGATTCGGAGGCCAAACGCCGACGGCTCTCGATGTGCGAGGCATCTCCCGCCCTCTCCTCGCCCTCCCGTCCCTCTCTCCCGCCGCCTCAGCCTCCTGCTCCTCCTGCTCCTGCTCCTCCTGCTCTTCCTTCGAAGCAGGAGCACCGGATGCACACATGAACTGTCGCAGGTCCGTGCGGATTTCTTGGATCGGCGCTGGCCCTGAGTCTCGTTTCACCGACCCTCATCCCCATCCTCATCCCCTTCGAGACCCCCACCAAACTACAACCCCAGTTGGGGATGCACCCCTCGAGACCCGAAGGGAACGGTCCATATCCCCATCTAGGGGGGTGAATCGGCCAGTGGGGCCCAGGCTACGCTGCTGGGGATGGGGGTCGGATAAACGATGCTCAGGCCCCCTCCCCCGGGACGCTCCTCCTCCTCCTCCTCCTCCTCCTCCTCCTCCTCCTCCTCCTTCTCCTCCTCCTCCTCCTCCTCCTCCTCCTCCTCCTCCTCCTCCTCCTCCTCCTCCTCTCTCTCCTCCTCCTCCTCCTCCTCCTCCTCCTCCTCCCCCTCCTCCTCCTGCTAAGGACCTGGCCGCGGCCGCCGACGGAGCGGGGAGGTGCGTGCTCAGGGCCGTGGTGACGCCGGTCCCCGAGCAGTAAGTAGGGCGGCGGCGCTCCGCGCCCCGCCGCCGTTGCCGCGGGCGCCGGGCCCTCGGGCGCCGGGGGCGGAACGGCTGGCTGCTCCCCTCGGCGCGTGCTGCTCCTGCTGCGACCCCCTCTTCTCATTGTCCTTCGCCTCCTCCTCCTCCTTCTCCTCCTCCTCGTCGTCGTCCTCCTCCTCCTCCTCCTCCTCCTCCTCCTACTCCTCGTCGTCGTCGTCCTCCTCCTCCTTCTCCTCCTTCGCCTCCTCCTCCTTCTCCACCTCCTCCTCCGCTCCAGGGGCTGGAGGAGCGCCGGCCTCGGGTCGAACGAGGGAGAAGGGGATGCGGGGGTTGGCGAGGTCTGCTTTGTGCATCTGGTTTCGGCCCCGCCGCTGGGCGCTCTCCTCGATACATCGGCGCCTCTGGCGCCGAGAGGCGCCGGGGAAGCCAGCTTCGTCAGCTGGTGGCTGACTCCCCCCTTGGCTGACTCCCCCTAGAAGGATGGGCAACCCTTCCAATGGTACCCTTGCATCCTTGCCCCTTCGGCCCATCCTTGGCCACTTTCGCTGGCCAACCTCGTTCGAAAAAACATTCGCGTGGGCCTCCAAGACCCTTGCATCCTTACCGCGCATCCTCATGATACGGATTGACTGTTTTCCCCCCATTTGTCTCGTCAGCCCCGATCCTCCGCTCCAGGGATCGCTGGAGGGCCAGCTGAGACAGCAGCGCCGCTCCCTGGCGCTTTTCGTTCCTCCTGGGACCTCCTGAAGGCTTCTCGTCGCCGCGGCCGCAGCCGCGCCGAGGCATGGGTCAGGACGGGCCTCGGGAGGGCTGGGCCGATGCGGCCGCCGTTGTCTCAAGCTGGCTCCCTCCGAAGGGAAGCCCCCCGATGACAATGATCCGGGGGCAGGGCCCCCCCTTACCGAATCAATGAGGAAGGTGTTGTGCCGCCCCCAGAGGCCTCCAGAGGCCTCTAGAGGTCCAGAGGCCTCCAGAGGTCCCCAAGGGGTTCCAGAGATAGCTGGGAGCCTCCGGAAGCCAAGCAACCTGCCCCCGAAGTGCATGCAACATATGTTTGCGCCTCGTCGCTCGATCCTCGATACCCCCGCCCTCCTCCCGCCCTCCTGCTCGCTGTTCTCTTCCTCCTCCTCTCCTCCTCCTCCTCCTCCTCCTCCTCCTCCCCCTCCTCCTCCCTCCCCCTCTCCGACTCCACATACCCACCTTTCCCTCCTCCATTCACTTTCCCCTTCCCCTTCCCCTTCCTGCCCCCTCTCCCCCCCCCCTGCGCTCGTCTTATCCCTCCTCTTCCTCCGCCTCCTCCTCCTCCTCCTCCTCCGCCTCCTTCTCCTCCTCCCTCCTCTTCGGTTCAGCCGCTCGCCGCAAGTGCGCGAATGCTCCGCCTGTCAGGCTGTGCTTCCCCAATCCATCCATCGCCGCCGCCCCCCGCCGCGGCGGGCTGAGTTTCTCGCCTGTCGGGAAGGAGGGTGAGGAGGAGGTGGATGAGGAGGAGTATGGGGATGAGGATGAGGATGAGGAGTACGAGTAGGAGTAGGAGTACTCGTAGGAGGAGTATTGTAGGCAGGTAGGGAGGTAGGTAGGTAGATAGGTAGGTAGGTAGGTAGGTAGGTAGGTAGGTAGTAGTAGTAGCAGTAGTAGTAGTAGTAGTAGTAGTAGTAGTCGTAGTCGTAGTCGTAGTCGTAGTAGTAGTAGTCGTAGTAGTAGAAGTAGTAGTAGTAGTAGTAGTAGTAGTAGTAGTAGTAGTAGTAGTAGTAGTAGTAGTAGTAGTAGTAGTAGTAGTAGAAATAGTAGTAATAGTAGTAGTAGTAGTAGTAGTAGTAGTAGTAGTAGTAGTAGTATAAGTTATTAAGAAGAAAGTAGTAAGTAGAATTAGAAGTATAATGTATTAATAAAGAAAAAAAAATACAATAACACTTACAGATACTATTACTCTGTAGTAGTAGTATAGTAGTATAGTAGT